TATATATATATATATATATATATATATATATATATATATATATATATATATATATATATATATATAAGGCTGTTGTGACGAAAATACACTTCCTGGGTACAAGTATGTGAATGAAGTGGCAAAAGAATACAGGGTACGCATGCCTGACGTGCGGAAAGAACCACGAAACCTTTCCTGTGCTTCCAGGGAAAGTTTCTCCAGCCATATACTACTACTTATGAAATATAAATAAATCTCTGTCTCTTTTAAGATCTCATTCAAGCAGTTAATCTTTAAGGTAGCCCAGCTATCGGGTTATTTCTCAAACTATCACCTTAATCGCAAAGACTTATCTGTTTCATCCTGTCGGGATTAACTACAACGTCGTATTCCATGCAGGCCTATTTATCATATCCACAGAGTCTTGTTAACACTTTATTTCTAGCTTCTCTGGTAGTTCTATCATACGATCAATTGAGCAACTTGCTCGAGAATGACCAAACCCTCAGCACTGCATAGTCTTACAGGCTACTGTGTCGGTCGTTTTGTGTGTGTGTGTGTGTGTGTGCGCGCGCGCGTTCACACTCTTGTGCTTGTCTATGCCGAACGTTACTCTGATGTGCGGTTTCAACAATTGCCGATGTGTTCTTAGCCATTTTGTGTAACAGAACTAATGAGTCGTTTCCGAACTGTTGGTCAATAAATGGGTTCACTCAATTGTCTGTTTAACGTCTCATCGCCGTCTGTGTTCATAATCATCGTTCTTTTGAGTGTGCCCTCACAAACCACAGAATTCCATTAAATTATGACAAGATTTGATTAAACAGATGTAGATTAGTGATTTTTTCATGGAACTTGCAATCGATATTTAAAAGTTGAAGTCTTTCCGATTGGTTAGAAACTTTTAACTCATTTCAACATCCTTAAGACTGATGTACACCAATAGACTAAACCATTTTTCTCATTCTAATCTTTTCGAAATAGGTTTCTGTAATGATCCAAAATAGAAAAGAATAACTGAAATAAGCTCAATTCACGACTCTCTTTTTTTTCAGACGAATCTGTTGTCCACGTGAACCGATCTTCGCCGTGGGTATCACCGCGATCCGCCAACACCACGGTGAGTACGGAGAATGCAATCGTACGATTCCATCATCATGGTCAACAATGAGATGGCACTCCGTTTAATCACTAATCGTACTACTTTAATCGTGATAATGTGCGGGAAGTTCAGTCATTTGTATACGTGCGGACTGCATTGACTGCTCAACAATTAGATGTCGAGGGAGAACATCTACAAACAATTCGTTAGGGTGAATTGGTGCAATTAATGGCATTTGGCCATGCTTACCGTTGTGACACAAAATGAACAAAATGAGTTCAGTGAGGGTAATAAAGAATTAAGATATAGAAACTCAATTTTAGCGCAATTTTTATTTCTTATACTTCTGTTTTTGTTGATCATGTATTTGAACAAGCCATGTTCAGGAAGGTGGTATCGGACAACTAAAGGCTTCTTGTGTATTGGATACAAGGGAACATTGGTGGATCAACCGGTAGCGTTCGTGGAATTGGGACACAAAGCGTCCGGGGCGATGTAATGTGAACCAACACGGGTTGACCACGTCCGCCTGTGTGATTCCTGTAGCAAAAAGCGACAAATCTCCGTGCAGATTTCGAAAACTTCAGAATGCATTATACTGTTTAATGCAATTATTCAAGTTACTAATATTTCTCTGCTCCACCCACTGTACCAATTGGTGCTGTTGGAATTTACACATATAACCAAGAAGGAAACTTGCAGCGTTTTCAACAAGAGCAGGTAAGGATAAGACTAAAGAATCCTGCCTCACATCCCGTTTCGCTGATAAAAACTTGAACAGCATAAAGGTGTTGGCAACAATCTCAACTTAGTTAAAATAATAACTGAACAAAATTTCTGCCTTTCTGGTATTTTGAATGAACGGACTGAACGAGCAACCCCTTCAGCGAACAACCAGAAGAATCAATCAGTTACATTGTTCATATGCAGTGATACTGATATTCGAGAAGACTGTTGCGCGTGCACACTGTGCAGCAAAAAGCGCCCCTAAAGTTTGGGGTCATAACAACATTTACTCGTCGAAACATAATCGTCATCAACAACTGTTTGACAGCATCCTGTGGCATACGGCTCCATTCCTTGTTCAAAACAGACTATCTGGAACGCCCCTGGACATTGATGCTGCCACCTTCGATCCACTTTCCACCCCGGAGGTGAACCCACCAATGTTTCATCCAATTTAATTGGGGTGATCAAGGTGGCATCGCGTACGATATTCAAGGACGTTGTCCCCCTGAAGCATTGCCGAAGTAGTTCTGATCAACAACCTCAGGTTCGGGGATATCTAGTTACACTTGACAATGCCGTTCAGAAGTACCTCATATGTGGAATGAACCACCACTGTGCAGCATTATCGCTGTTCTCACATCACTTCCTTTAGTTTCAGCGGTATGTTTTCATGCGCACTACTGACGATCAAGGTTGACAATCAAAAAGACTGATTCCTCGATAAAAAGGATCAGCTAAATCGTTCGTACCTCCACACAATACAAGAAAAACTTTATGATAATAAAGGAACAGTAATGCGTCCCCGTGATCAAAACTGACGTTCATTCAATAGACTGGATACAGCTTTGACGGAGGCTGGATAGCGTGATAGACGATTTATAACAGTCAATGAGGAGTACACGTTAGACCTGAGAGGCTTTTGAGAACCATAGCATCACTTTTATATGGTCTCTCACTCTCGCGGCGTCGATGCTAATTCACGGCTCTTTTGAACCGATCAATCTGTTTGCTCACCATCCGTTCTAAAGGATCAAAATTCTTGTTAATCTCATGGCGCAAATTCTATAACTGCGATCTTCAGGCTGCACATCAGACAAGAGACTAAATCAGCGTAACCCTCTAAGACCAACTGAAACTGGTAAAGCGGACGTATAATGCTGTTGGCACCATCGTCCATACACAACCACACACATCCCCACCCCATCTACAAAGCGATCCCTCCCAAAGTCCGCCAAATCGCAAGTAATTAAACAGTCCGAATATGGATGTGGAACATCTTTCATTGACAGTACAGATGAGCATTTGCCTGCTCTAATCCAGAAATGGATCTCATGTTGGGTTAGACGTTGTCACGTTATCAACGATCAATTTGACCAGTCAAATCCACACACTCGCAACACTCACGAATAACACCCTCAATCAAATTGCACCATTACCAACTTCCGCCTTTAACCAAGTACACGGAACACACAAACACCCTGCATCATCTATCACTCGATATCTCTTGGTGACAACTCATGGACCGAACCCAACAAGCCGATTTAGGATTTAGAGTATCATGTTTGAATGATCCCTTTCCATCGTTCAGAGACACCAGGCATATATACTGCTTCAAGCATCTTGACCTGATAAGAAATGACAACAAGAAGGCGCCACTGCTGTCTGTTCGCTGCCATACCCTTCAATGAATACGATCAACCAGTTTTTTCTTGCATTTCTTGAACGTTATTTCGTTCCCCGGATTTACGCTAGCTAGCGTCAGTCCCGTGGCCTCGTCAATTTACATTTTTCGGTGGCATTTATTCCCGTGGCGCGACTGGTCTCTTTAATTCAAACTTTCCATCAATGCGATCACTTGGTGCAGTTGACCCGTACAAAATCGATTTGCTGACTGATTAGGGCAAGGTGATGGCCATTGTGTGTATGCTGTTTTACACAAACACAGCTGTTTCTACCCTCTGTCTGTATTGGTGAAACTGAATCGGATTTAGCCCTCACTGATGCAGTTTGATAAAACATGTATTGATCCACTGATCGAAAAGATTGGACCAGATTACAGGTAATATTTTGCACACGGAAATTCAAATCGAGTCAATCAATCGTTATATATACCCAGAAGGATGAATTTTCAACTACCATGACACCATCATTTCTCATTTAAGTTAAGTAGAGCTACAACCTAGAAAACAGTAATAGGGGAAGAGCAAAAACATAGGTAAAACAGTAGCAGATAGTCTGACCAGAATGGAAGTCTGTTCCGATGCAACCAGTTCTGGGTTTGTAAGGAATCTAGCTAAACAAGGGTCAATGAAATGGTTGTAAGCTTCAGTGCGTGGATTTGTTTACAACAAAAACCAATGGACAAGAAACGAAAACACTGACTATGATTAGAATAAGGAGGATCAGTTAAATTAAGGTCATGTGGGAGAGTTTTCCAATTCATGTATGGGTTAGCCACAATATGTTGTCCAAGGTGCTGACGAGAGATACAGCTATATACTGACGGAAATTCGAGAACCCTGTAGTTGATTAGACGGGATTGAATGAACGGTTCGAGAGTAAAGCAGAATGGGCTACAAAGCTAGTGGAACACAATGCAGACTGAAATAAAACTCCTGAAATCAATAGCGGAAGGGGGATAGCTAAGGGTATCAAGGTGTGTTTCAAAAGTTCCATCCAAACATGAGCTCTTCATTCTTTTCGCATGCAATTTCGTAATAAAAAAGAAACACCAAAAGCTTAACGATAAAACAAAACAGTTTCACAAATAACTTTGTAAGGAGACGTTTAAACGTGCCGCAATGCACAGTTTTCAAAATGCATGATGGCTGAGATGATCTCTAAGGAGATTCAATCCGTGGATGGCATTTAACACATTATGAGAATAAATCAGTTAGGCTTCAATGTAAATAAACAAAAAATCAATCAATCATCAGTTGTTTTAGTGATTAGTTGATCAACAATTCTAACACTGTGTTGGTTATCCCAATCCTCTCTCTTCTCCCTTACTTTAACGGTGTGTTCGATTCTAATAGTTAACTATATTGATGTCCTGAGCGTCCATCAACCATCTGCACAGTTTCAAGCTAGTTGAGATAACAAACATTGAACCGGTGCATAGAATTATTGTTACGACTGTCTGAGAAGCGACCGCGCGAAATGATGATATTGCGGTAAAATTAGCGTGTGGGATACAAAGGATAAATTGTTGGTAGATTAACGTCGAAGCAAACCGGACGATAGACAACAGTCCTGAGACTTGACTCGATCGTACAAAACAAATTTCAGCATAGTTCACACACTGTGTTGGACATAGTAAAACTAATTCTGTTGGATGGTATAAGAACAACAGAGTCATACAGCTACCACTTCAACAGCTCAGTTAACATTATCCAAACAGAAATATGTTCAATAAGAAAAATGAGATCAATTCTTCCTCTATGGCTAAAACGTTTCGCTTGGACAAATTGAATTTCACGTCACCTGAACTTCCTTACAGGATGCAGAAAATCAATGCTATTGGCTGATCTCATGCTTCTCCAAACGGACGTGTCAACCTCACAATCAACTTTTCTCGACTAAGATATCAATCACTCGCGGGCGTTCAGTCAGTCAGTGAAAGCATTAGCCACCGAATATGCACTACTATTCACAAGGGGGATCACCGACGACAACAACTGGTTCAGTGCTTTCATGAAACATAATTGTAGTTGATGAAAATGATATCGCCTCTTTGAAAAGTACCGAAGATGCAAATTATCCAAAGTCAGCCTGATAATCGGAACTAGGCATTACGTTGAATTCCCGTGAAATGTGTATCTATGTATTGCTCAATTGAGTAAACTGAACTACAAGGGTTTTCAGTGGTGAACAGTTCATGGAGAATGATCGATAATGACTACTCAAACGCTTTTCCACTATTTCAATAGTTCCTTATTTTTAGTACTAAATCAGTCGTATGTGGAAATCTTGCTATCGCCGAAATCTCACATCAATTTCTCTTGTTCACAGAATAGAAAAATTCTCAGTTCAAAGGTGTGTAGCTCTGAAAATATCAAGAGTTTCTTTACCTCCTCATTTTTCCATTGACAACTATGGACTGTTCGACTGTTTACGGTACATCGGGACGTGTTGGGCATTCATTTCATCGAGCAACAAATATCAAACCATTCAACTGATCGTAGCTCCAAAGCGTCATATTCTAACTTTGACAGTGATCAATTCATTGACCTAAACGGTCTGATTGGGCGATTCCTCTCTGATAACTTCAGGTCGAGGATGGGATTGATCTCACGGAATAAGATCATGGCTTGACGGCAACCTCATTTATCTGTGCGCAGCTTTCAACTTCTGGATGGTGGCTCAGCTTTCTCTTCGAACAAATGTGTTTCACAGGAGTCACTCCATCACGACGAGACTGCACCTTGATGTGGTGTGATGGCTGGTGTGCCTCAGTGACACTGCGAGCTACACATGATGGATTCTCACAGCCGTAGATCCAATCACGCCTGAAAGGTCAACGGGTAGAGGCCAGACGATGACCAATCTCATAAGGCCAGCTGCTTGGGCACCTCCTGGCTTCCTTCCTCTATCCACACCCACCCCTGGAGAGGCCACTCCAGCATATAAACACGGTGAGGGGCAGTTTACCGGTCATAAAACCCCGCTAGATGGACGTAGGAGCGGGGTACCTGGGGCTTCCTCTCGACGGTGGGAGAAGTCTTCGCACTTCATTGGACAGCCACCGACCGCCCACGCTGGGCAGCCCCCAGCCAATAAGGTGTTGTCCCGTCCACGTTCCGCTGCTCTCATTGGGTGCATGAGGCTAAGGGCTGATTCCGAAAAGCGGACCGATAATCAACGCACCAGCGAACAATAAACTTAACCGAATTCGAAGGCACTGCGTGACAGGTCTCCAGAAGCGTTCTTCTAATCCAACCTCAACCTCACGCTTCACCCTTCGTTTGTCAAGCGATTCGGCTTCCGAAGCTCGCGGTGTTGCTGGTGTCGGGATTGCGCTAAGAGCCACAGCTGAGCGCTAGCTTCTTGACTGGATTCCAGTCAGTAGCCGATTGTACGCTGTACGTCTCAACGGTTCAGTTCCAGTCAATAGCTACAGAATGAAGCGTCGATGCTTGTTCGTCGTGTCGGCGTATGCACCGACCGACTGCAGTATACCTGAAATCAAGGGTGAAATCTACAAGCATCTTTCTAAACTACTCCAAAGTGTTCGATCAACGCGCGTCGTAGTAGTCGCCGGGGACTTCAATGCTCAAGTGGGATCCGTGGACGGAACACACGCAATCCCAGCCAACCGGACGGACAACGGAGATCGCCTACTTCAACTCTGCACGGACCACGGATTGTTCCTGTCAAACACGAACTTTTCCCATAAGAAACGTCATCCACTTACATGGAAACCGCCAACCTCTTCACTGCGCTGGACCAAAATCGACCACATCGCCATCAGTTGCCGCTGGAAGGGGTCAATTCAAGACTACCGCTATTACTGGTTAACAGCTGTGGATACAGACCACGCCTTGTTACGAGCGAAGTTTTCCTTACGCCTGGAAAACAACCGCAAGAAAACCACCGACAACGGATATCCGCGATACAGTGTCAGCGATTCATGCAAATTGGCCTTCGAAGCGGAGCTCTCCGATCGCCTGTCAGTTCAACCACCAGCCGAAGGACTCAATAAACGCTGGAAACAAATCAAGAAAGCTATGCAGATATCGATAAAAACAACATCGGACACTGCCTCAAGCTCAAAACACAAACGATGGAATTCGTCCACTACGATTGTCCTGTTGGACACCCGCAGAACCCTTCCGCCGGATGTCACATACGACNGTCAGCGATTCATGCAAATCGGCCTTCGAAGTGGAGCTCTCCGATCGCCTATCAGCTCAATCACCAGCCGAAGGACTCAATGAATACTGGAGGTAAATCAAGGAAACTATGCAATTATCGATAAGAACAACGTGGGACCCTACCGCAAGCTCAAAACACAAGCGATGGATATCGTTGACCTCGGCTGCCCTGCTGGACGCTCCCAGAGCCCTCCCTCCCGTTGCTATATATGACAGCGCGTAAATCCCTCAAATGCCAGCTCATCAAGAGTCTGAGGAATGATCGCGAGGAGTGGTGGGTAGAAAGATGTAGTG